GCAAGAACGGGCGAAACAGGATTGCCCATATTTAAACCATCTATTTGAAGGAAATGTTCGTTGTTTGAAAATGAAGTTGGTTTTAGTCGTTGTAAATTCTCAAAGAGAAGCAAAAAGTGTGCTGGGGATGTGCATTGACTTGTTAGGGTCATCAATGTAGAGGTTGAGTGCAATATTGCAAGCTTCATTGGCGGGGACTTCGGTGAAGAGTGACACAACATCAAAACTAGCCATTAAGGCTTTCGAATTTAGTTGTTCTAGTGTATATTTGAAACTGAAGGCATCTTTAAAAAATAAACCTGCAGATGTTACATATGGTGTGAGAGCCCAGGCTATGTATTTGCCAAGATTGAAGTTGAATGAATCATAAGTGGACAGTATAGGTCGTATGGGTGCAGTCCTGTTTGTGTGGTTTAGGTATGCCATAGAGTTGTGGTGTGTGTGAATCAGTTTTACGTAGATAAAAATAAAGATCGTTAGTAATTAAATTCGAATTCCTAAATCCACAGCGAACTGTCAATGCAGAGATCTATAGTCAGCAACTGGAACGTTTAAATCAAGCCCTTCATCAGAAACGCCCTTCACTTATCAATCGGAAAGGTGTTCTTCTCCACGACAATGCACGTCAACATCTGGCACGTTTGACGCAACAGAAGATTATGGAGTGGGGTTGGGAAGTTCTCCCCCATCCACTATATTCTCCAGATATGGCACCATCAGATTACCATCTCTTTCGTTCGCTGCAACACCATCTTAATGGGAAAACGTATCCAAATGTGGAAGGTGTTAAAGAGGACATCGACATGTTTTTTTATTTCAAAATCAAGTGATTTCTTTAATCAGGGCATTAACAATCTGATTGTACGATGGAAAAGCATTATCGATAAGAATGGAGACTATTTCATTTAATAAATATTTTGTTATGATATATAATTTCTTCGGGGTTTTTTTCATCTAAAAAAAGCGACATTAATATCTTGACGAACTAATATTCGTATTAATAGCTGAACACTGCCAATGCTTATTTTTACTTTATCATGTTTCATGTAAAGGGTGGTGTGTACGATTGATATTTTAAACGAATGTTCAACTCATCTATGACTAAAATCACCATAGTCCACTGTAATACACACACATATATATATACATATATAAAGTAATAGGTACAGTTTATAAAACCAAAGAATTTCAATTGCTACAAGGATTAAACAGAGATTTCCTAGAAAGTTACCATTTTTAATTTTTTTCTACAACAACTTCCATTATTGCTTTGACGTAATTTGAAACATAAAATATCCAACAAGAATAATATTGATATCCTTTACAGTTCGGTTAGTTAACTGTCGTAAAGTAGATCCACATTGATCTATCAAACAAAATCTAAATAATTTATTTTGTTAAGTATTTTTTTCTTGTCCAATCGCATTTAGGGATAAAGCCTGGATATTAATTCGTGTCTAATCATAAAAAAAAGACAACCAGAAGTGAGAGAAGTTCATTGAATAAATACCAACATTCGTCGCTATCTCTTAATAATAATTCGATTTGTTCGTTTGTTTGTTGTTAAGCGTATATTTCTTTGTTTGTTTTGAGTTTCGCGCAAAGCTACACGAGGGCCATCTGTTCTAGCCGTCCCTAATTTAGTAGTCAAAGACTAGAGGGAAGGCAGCTAGGCATCACCACCCACCACCAACTCTTGGGCTACTCTTTTACCAACGAATAGTGGGATTGACCGTGACTTTATAACGCCCCCCACGGCTGAAAGGGCGAGCATTTTTGGTGGGAGGGGATTCGAACCCGTGGCCCTCAGTTTGCGAGTCAAGCGCCCTAACCACCTGGCCATGTTAGTGTATTCTATTTCTTTCCTTCATTTCATACATAATACAGGGTTTGGCTCTCTTTAGACACCGATTGCATAGTGTACAAAGTATCGAGTATTCTACTTGCTACCGTCATCTAATGTTCATCTATTATTGGCTGGTAATGCCTGTTTCACCCTGTACTTAAGCATTTTCAAGAAGCACCATATTTCTGTAAGAAAGCTAACTTCAAGGGATAATGATAACATCGTTTACACTAGAATTATGATTTTGTTTTATAATTACTAATAGTTATTACGACTAAAACATGACATCATGCACTTCCCAGAAACACATAGAGTCGATTTAGGTTTAAACTGACGTTAATGATAAAGTAGTTGTAGAGTTATCTCAACTGAAACAAGAAGAAGAAAAATGAACAGTTTGATGGGTTGGTCACTTTCTGGTGTGGTATCTTGGTGATGGTTTCTTACCTAGTTTTTGGGCTTGTTGGGTAGAGAAGCAAATGAAAGTGAGTAGAAATTGGCTTTTAAAGTAAAACATTGTTGATTTTGTTTTAGAGTGCTATTTGTATTATGCTTATAGAGCACCTTGATTTTAACCAAAATATTCCACTGGAATAATCAGGTATAAAATATACAATGATTGTTTATTTTAAAAGAATGCTCTATCTAGTGTAAATATTAATTAAAATAAACACTCTTTAACCGAAAGAACCGCTTTTTTGTTGAGTTCAACTTTAATAAGGAGCTTATGTTAAGCTTAACTGAATCGTTGCGTTTATATATCGATTAAATCAACTAAGTTGTGTGAAATATAACTCAAATTAATCTGCCAGTAAAGTAATTAGCTGAATTAACCTCCAAGTGTTGATTCCGACAGAGATAATATCTTGAGCAGAGTCCCATTAAAATAGCCATGTAGTGTAGAGTTAATAGGAAAATATTCTCTTGTGTAGAGGTCGCTTTAAAAACGAAAGAATTTCATTCGAGACTACCTAACGCGTGGAGTTCAATAGAAGTATGAGCTTGTTTACGGTTCAACTAAAAAATAACACAAAAAACACCTTAAAATCTCAGAAATAGAAGAGTAGTTTACAAGCGTTTGAAACATTTTCAACTTTCGTTTAATGTGATTTATTTTTTAAAAGAAAATGGATCAACGAAGTTTGGGAGCAAACATTAACTTTAAATTCATTTCATCAATATAAAAAATGCAAACAATTAGTTATTGATGAGATGATTATATATGCGGAAAATGGATCAACGAAGTTTGGGAGCAAACATTAACTTTAAATTCATTTCATCAATATAAAAAATGCAAACAATTAGTTATTGATGAGATGATTATATATATGCGGAAAGTCTTTGAAGTAAAGAAGAAACTGGAATGTTCGGAGCTGGTACAAGATGGTTTAATTACAGTCAAATTCAGTGTATTGTATTTTACAGAAGAAAAAAACAAACAAAAATCATTATTGTTATAATTAACTTAACTTATGTAACATAACAATGGAGCATTCAAAGATACAATCAAAGATTTATTAAGTGATTGTTTCATACAGAATCATAAAATTTTCTGTACAGTCACATATTCTATTCTTTTTGTATATTTGTGTATCAAGATTATCCCGAATGTTACACATATTTTCTGATAAATTTATACTGCAATCAATTTGTAATCATTATTTACGTGAAAATAAGGTAACTTATTTTGGTTCATTCAATGAGCATTATATTTGAAGTGTTTTTCTCGAAGTAGTTGACCATAGATAATTAGTTAATTCAAGCTCCAGAAGATGGCGCAGGTATACAACAGGACACAATTACATAGAAGAAAACCTGTGCGAAGAGAAGCATAAAAGTATAATCGTAAATAAAATTATACATTTTTATGTATATAAGTAGACAATTAATCACTTTAAAAGGTTAAAACAAATGATGTATAGATTACGATGTCTTACAACATCTGAAAATGTCATATTAAATAAGGCTATATATTACTTTAAGACTTATTTACATGTAATAATATATCGATACATGTGTATTTCTTAAAACATAAAAGTAACAGTATACCAACCGTGCTATATATTTCAAACAACCTCTAGTGAGTAGCGTCTCCACAGTGCTATTCTTCATTAAAATATTTTTTCTGGGTAAGAGATAGAATAATATTTTATTTTGTTAAGTATTTTTAAACAACCTTTTTTTTTTGTCTTAACAAAAATGCCTACTTGTTATTTATATGGGAATCAGCTTCATAATGAGACTTAAGTAATGAAAGGACATCAACATTGTGTCTTTATTCACTAGAGGAAATTGTGGCACACATTTACAGTAGAATTTATCTTCTTTGTTTTACAATACAGTCTGTGGAATTAAAAATAGATTTTGTAATTGATCTATAAACACTACATTAATTTAAATATTGTATATCGTAGCTTTCCTATTAGCGAGAACGATTTAACATAAGTCATATTAGTTAGTTGGGCGTCATGTATGTTTTTTTTTGTTTCTTTTTGAATTTCGCGCAAAGCTACACGAAGACTATCTGCGTTAGCCGTCCCTAATTTAGCAGTATAAGACTAGAGGGAAGGCAGCTAGTCATCACCACCCACCGCCAACTCTAGGGCTACTCTTTTACCAACGAATAGTGGGATTGACCGTCACGTTATAACGCCCCCAAAACTGAAAGAGCGTGCATGTTTAATGGATCGTCACATTATAACGCCCCCATAGCTGAAAGAGCAAGCATGTTTGGTGGAACAAGGATTCGAACCCGTGACCCACAGACTGCGTGTCGAGCACCCTAACCACCTGGCCATGCCAGTGCGACAATATCATTAATATTAAAATATTGCTACATTTTTCCTTTAAAAAATATTTTGTACTTTTCAGAAGAAAATGAGACAGTCAAATTAAAAGTTTTCTAATGATACTAATTCCAGACACAACAGACATTTTGTTTTCTTTTATAAGTCAAATTTTATGAAATATTTCTTTCGTGAATTAAATTATAAAAAAAAAATACAAATATGTTGGTCACTTACTTCCAAATGGAAATGATCTCGTAGATTCGAACATTACTAACAAATTTATTCACTTCAGCTTGAAATTATTGAAGCGCTTTTTTCAATGACTTTGTTTGTTTTGTATATTCGCGCAAAACTGCACAGGAGATATATGCGCTAGTCATTTCTAATACTTGGCTGATAGACTAAAAGGAAAGTAACTTGTTAACAGCAACCACCGCCAACTCTTTAGCTACTCTGTTTCAAATAGTATGATTTGACTCTCACCCTTATAACACACCCATAGCTACAAAATATGGAACGATATTTTTTTTTTTTCTTTTCGGCAATGAGACACGAACCATGGACCTTTCAATAAAGTACAATATCTTGATTTAGGTATCAATTTTGCAGACATTTGATTCAATTTTGTCGAGTTTAACAGCGGTTACTTATACTTCAGTAGGGTTAGTTATAAGTGATATTCTCACTGTTGTCATTTGTATCTTAGTGATAAGTGCCGGTCACTTGTTTATGCAAAACCAGAATAGAACCAGGCAAGATATAGGTCGCCTGGTGGGATAGCAATAACTTTACACACTTACAGTGCTAAAATCCGGGGTTCGATTTCCAGCGGTAGACACAGCAGATAACTCAATGTGGCTTTGCGCTAAAAAAAATATATATATAGCTCCCCCTTTTCAATTCCCAAAACCGGTTGCGTGGTATAAAAAGCAGTTTTGTTTGGACTGGTTGGGAATTGAAAAGGGGGAGCTATATATAACCGGTTGCGTGGTATAAAAAGCAGTTTTGTTTGGACTGACGAAGTCATTAAAAGTCCTTAATGAGGATAATTACTTCAAACCTCAATTAAGATGTGTTGTTTGTAAGCTCTTGAAACTCTTCGCCTTTACTGTAATCCTTACCTTTCTATGTTAACGGATGCTATTCTTTAGATGGAGAATGTTTACTTTTTAAATGTCAACATAAAACTTTTCTCATCCATTACTGTTTTCAAGCTTTTGCATTTTAAAAATTTTCATTAAAAATGTATAAACGTTACTTAAACTGTAGAAGTTATTAGTTATTACATTCTACTATGTCATTGCTATTAATATAATTAGAAAATCAGCTTCATTTCAAATAACATAATTATTATTATAATTAGGGGAAAAACTCATGCTTCGCGTACGATATTTTTTATGGTATTTTTGTGTTTTAATGCAAATTTTATGAAATATAAACGCAGTGCTGTGTATGTAAAGTTACTAAAACATTCAAGTTACTTGTCTAGACTAATCATGTATGAGGTTAGGTACGTAGAGTTTTGAACGAATCTGGTGTCCGTGCGGGACGTCTCAATGTCAACGGGGTTAAACCTATTCCATAACAGGAGATACGCAAAACACCTCTAGTACAAAATACATTTCGAACCGAATGGTCTGCACCAATAATGACAACCGATTAACTTCTCTAATAACAGATCTAGCGACGTTTTCAACTCCTGGATATCGGAGACTAGTATTAAAAGTTCTATTTCTATTATTATTTTTTTGCAAGCAGTAGAAACTTGCTCAACGCACCAGATTCTTGAACATCAACACAGTTGTATCTCCAGTTTTCTTCCAATTGGGCTGATTGCATCGGCTTGATGCCGTATAATAACTAACAGACGAATGACGTCATGCATGACGCACTATTTAAAGAAAAATGCTATTTTTGTTACCGATCGAAGTAAATTACCTTAGAACTTTTGTTTTCATGCATTTTTGTTGTTGTTTCTGTGCCCGTACGCCTCAGGATGATGGAGTAGCGAGAAAAGCTGATAAGACATCTTTTTTATTCTACCTTAATGTTTAATAAAACCCTCCGCTAAAAAAAAAGAGAACTTTTAGCAGTAGGACAGTAATGTGGGTGTTGTTTACCTGATAACTACGTGATGATAACAAATATTCCCTGTTAAGTATATACTATTAGGAGGTCAAGAAATTAATGTAGCGTTTTGTAACACTTTCATTAACCACCACCCAAAAAACGTACATCA